TTCTATCTACACCCGGACAGTCTGAAAATGGGACTGCCAGATGATGGATAAGGAATGGGTATCCGTTCTGAACAAGGAATGGGGGGCTTAAATGTACTGCTACTGAAGTTAATACAACTGATACATCATGCAGGGAGAGTTCTCACTATTCCAGGGAATGGTCCTGCTTGGTTGGGCTCTGAAGGTAGTCAGAGTTCACGCCCTAACAGGAGGCCAAATGGGGTTGCCAGCCTTTAGAAAACTGGGTGCCTGAGTGGGGAGTGAGGGGAAGTTAAGAAGATGACCAGCAGCTGGGCAGGACAGCCCATGGGAGGGGCCACCTGTCTGCTTCCACCTGCAAGCTAAGGTCATGGATGCTCGGAAACCAGCTTCCGGTCCAGCGCTTGGAAGCTTAAAGGCTCACCTGGTTCAGACTGTGGTGGGTTCAGTATCAAACTGTCTTGACTGCTGGTGCCTATTTCCTGTTGCTGTGCTCCCACCTCACAGAAAAACATATCCCCACTGAACCTTTTTATTTCATCTTATCTTGTTTTCCTCAGGGCTCCCTCTTTGCCTTATTTACTATCTGTGGTCAACGTTTCCTTCTTCCCCAGCAGGTTTAGTCCATACCTGTCTCATTTCTCTGTATCCATTCCTGTTTCCCTCTCAGTTACTCATCTCCTCCCCCAAATTCTTTTTCCGGTCATGGCAAATTTCTTGAAAAAGGAGTCCGCACTTCGTAAAGCCTTCACAGTCTCACCTCAGGCTACTACAAAATGATTTCAAACCCTGTGCTTTAAGACAGTACCTAAACGGTGTTCACAAAGATCACTCACACACTCCTAATTGCCACAGCTGAAGACTTCCCAGTAGTCTGTCTTGATTACCCCTTTCCCCTTAAAACACTCGCCCTTCCACGTCTTTTCACTTTCCTCTCCACATCTGGCCACTCTTTCTCCATCTCTTCCCCTCATACGGTCAACACAGAGGATCCCACGATTCGGTCAGCATTTCCCTCCTCACTCCAGTATGCATTCTTTCTCCTTGCTTCAGCTACAGCTTGTGTGCCAGTGATTCCCAGACTCGTATAACACTGACCCTGACCTCTTGCTTCTGAACTAAAAGAGGTACTTCCATCTCTTTCTTTCGGATATCTTACGAGACCCCCAAATTCAATGGTCAGAGCTAGACTCTCCTCATGCTCAGTCAAATGTGGTACCTCCCTTTTCCTCATCACGTGGTCATCAAGTTCTGGTGATTGTAATTCCAAATGTCTTTCTGATGTACCCCTCCATGAAATACTTCCATTACCTCTACTCTCGTCTAGGCCCTCAAACTACTTTAACGGGACAAGAAGATGGTTAATAGAAGGAGCTTTGGGAATCAGACTAGCTGGATTCTGGGTTTTTTTCACTTAAAGACTTCAGATGGAGTCTTTAAGACTCAGTTTTCTCACTTGTCAAGTGGGGCCAGAATTTAGAACTATTATAAGAAATTTGGTGATCTAACCAAAACGTTATTCACAATGGTTGGCCCGCGGTAGCCACTCAAAAATGTTATGTTTTTCACTCAGTACTCTCCTTACTTCCTCCCATCTCTGAGCTGGAGCTCCTGCCTTTAGCCCATCTCTCCTCTCCAGTACACACTCAACTCTCACACCAATTACTTTCTAAATCAGAGATCTACTCATGTCAGTCTTTGGTTCAAAAAAAAAAAAAAAAACTTTTCACAAATTTTCATTGCCCATATGACAAAGACCATCTCCTTAGTTTGGCATTTTTGACCCTTTAGAAATCTAACCCCAAGCTACCTTTCCAGCTTACAGATTCACCACTCCTTATTATATAACCTATTACCTAATGTACCTTTCATTGTCAAGCTTGGTTTCTTTATTGCAGCCACCCCATCTTCAAGGTCTTCCTCCCTTTCATTTCTAGCTGATGAAGTCATACTTATATTTGCATAAGCATCTGTTTCCCCCAATAAAGTCTAATTCCTTGGAAGCAAAGAACCTGCCTTATTATTCTGACACATTGCATTCATTGATACATTCATTCACCAAACATTTTTAAACTGAGAACCAGGCACTGTGTGAAGTGCTAGGGATCCAAAGCCAAAGAAGATATAGCCCACACCATTAACCAGTAGATAGTCTGGTTGGGAAGATGGGCATACAAACAATTCCAGTAGAGGGTGACAGGTGAGAGGATAGAGCAGTGGCTCTCGATCCTGGTCGTATATTAGAATCCCTGGAATCAATTTTTTAATCAGTTTAAAAGAATGCTAATGCCTAGGTTCAACCACCAAAAATTCTAATTTAATTGGTCTGTGATGCATTTTTTTTTTTCCTACGGTACACGGGCCTCCCACTGTTGTGGCCTCTCCCTTTGCGGAGCACAGGCTCCGGACGCGCAGGCTCAGCGGCCATGGCTCACGGTCCCAGCTGCTCCGTGGCATGTGGGATCTTCCCGGACCAGGGCACGAACCCGTGTCCCCTGCACTGGCAGGCGGACTCTCAACCACTGCGCCACCAGGGAAGCCCCTGTGATGCGTTTTTTTAAAAAGCTCTTCTGGTATAGTTACGATAGTGAGGGTTGCAAACCTCTGAGAAAGAGCTCTACACACAATATGGGAGATACACCTTATAGCTGGCACTTCTGGTTGTTCCACAAATTCTGCCCCCTTCTGTACAACCTTCCTCCACATGATTTAGGAGACACTGCCTTATCCCCATCTCAGAGGTAGATTCTAATTGCTCTTTCTTGTGATTGGTTTAGGTGTAGGCAAGGACACCTGAGGGGAGGCTGGCTGTGGGAAGTTGGGAAAAGGTTTCCTAATCTTAAGAAAAATATACCAGGAGAGATAGGTTTCTTTCTGCCTTTGGACACTGCTGTGCCTGGCTGTGACAACTGGAACCACAGCAACCATATTGTATCCATGAGGGGAGCCATCGGGAGGTAAAACTGAGATCTAGAAAGGAGTGGCATTCTTGATGACACTGTCAAGTCATTGTATCAAACTACCCTACTATTGGTCCACCTGTGCATTTTTGGATGTGTGAAATAATAAATTTCCTAACTGTTTATGCTATTTTGAGTCAGTTTTCTGTTGACCTGAAGCAGATGGTATCCTAACTGATATACAAATAAACCAAACTTGAAGATCAAGGAGAGCAGGTCCAGAGAAGGTGATAATTAGAGGAGAGTCTTCAGCAAGGCAGTCAAGAAGCAGGAGAAGCAAATAAATAGGCATGGATATAAAAGCATAAGATATTCATAGAACTTCCTATAGTTCAGAATGGCTATTGCAAATAATGAGTATGGAGATGAAGCTGGAGAGGAGGGAGTCTGAGGCGAGAACTTGAGGAGGCCTGTATGCTGTGAACTAGATTAAATATGGCCACAAAACCGTTGCCACTTCTTCTATCAAGAAGCAGAGTCTGGGCTTCCCTGGTGGTGCAGTGGTTGAGAGTCCGCCTGCCGATGCAGGGGACGCGGGTTCGTGCCCCGGTCCGGGAAGATCCCACATGCCGCGGAGCAGCTGGGCCCGTGAGCCATGGCCGCTGAGCCTGCACGTCCAGAGGCTGTGCTCCGCAACGGGAGAGGCCGCAACAGTGAGAGGCCCGCGGACCACAAAAAAAAAAAACAAAAAAAAAAGAAGCAGAGTCTATTTCAATACCCCATGAATCTGGCTGGCTTCATGACTTGCTTCGACCTATAGAACATGTCAAAAGGGATGTGACGTGAGTTCCAGAGCCAAGGCCTGGCTCTCTTTAAACGCTGTCCTGAGGCTGCCATGTTGGAAGGAAGGCAATCTAGCCTGCTGGCAGATGACAGACCAGGTGGAGAACGGAGATGCCTCAGCTGAGCCATCACCAAGTGCTGGGCATGTGAGGGAGATTCCATGCCATTGTGGACCATGCAGCTAGTCCAGCCATCATGTGAAGAACCAGCAGATGAACTTCCCAGCCAACCCACAGGATCTAAGAAATAATAAATCACTGTCGCAGTAGGCCACTAGATTTGGGGTGGCTTGTTACACAACAACAGATACCCGATACATAGGCCATGCCAAGATGTTTGGCCTTTACTCTGAAAACTATGAGGAGTAACCTGATGAGACTCATGTTTTAGAAAGATCGCCTTGGCAGCAACATGGAGAATGTCTTGGAGGGGGGTGCAGGGCAGAGGTAGAAGGACTGGTTAGAAGACTATTGTGTTAATAGGGCTGAGAAATAATATGAATCTGAACTAAAACAGTGGCAGAGGGAAGGCAGAGAAGAGTTAATAGAGGGGTAAAATCAACAGGATGGTGAATACAGGTTATAGACTGTAAAGGAGAAAATGAGTTAAGAATGACTTAGTTTCTGGACTCTGCAAACGAGGGGACGATAGTGCCATTCACTAAGAGAGGGAACTATGGGAGGAAGAGAAAGTCTGACCTAACTTTGGAACACCCAAGTGGAGATGTACAGCAAGGAGTTGCGAATACTCAATACGCAATAAATGTCTGATGAACAAATTACTATGGTTAATCTGGTTGGGAACTGAAGTATCCATTGTTATATGGGATAACTTGAGTTCTCTCTAAGACAAGTAAAGTTATAATGGTGTGAACTCATTTTATGGATACTTGGTCAGAACAGAAAGGAAAAAGAAAGATAAGATTTGATGTAGCCCAAAATGCTGATAAATCTGCACATTGTTCAGTTTGTGTGCATTAATCTATAATTCTCAGGGAACATTCCTAGTATACAATGTTCTTACCTAAAGGCACTTTCTTAGTGTATCCAGAGGGTAAACTCTATGATACAGGTTCTCTCTTTTTTTTGGCTGGCAGATTCTTTACATGCCACCCAACCTGTAAAATAAGAAGGGGCTTCCCTAGGTACATGCTAGAAAGAGTTGAGACTATCTCCACGTTGTATATTTTGCCAAATGAGCCCATTCTATGATTTACTAATATAATAAACTACAGAGGCTACAAACAACTTTAATATGCACATGTAAATATTGGCTTACCTTTGAAATTGATTAAAATAGCAAGTAAATGGCTGGGAACCAATCTCATCTTTCCAGTACTGTTGCCAATTCATGACACTTTCCAAGTTCTTCTGATTTTCTCTCTTACAGGGAGGGATATAGGAGCACTAACAAAACAGAACACAGAAAGTAAACCTATTATTCTATAGAATATTGAAATATAGTCCTTTTTAATAGACAGATGGCATTATGCTGATGGTAAATCTAATTCTGACCTACTTAATTGTTAATTTAACCAAATTGAAATTCTGAAACTATATTTCAAGTTTTGAATTTGGCGCAATTACAGAAAGTATTCCGATAACAAAAGTACAGCGAAAAATAACTTTCAGTCATTACAGTATAAAGATACTTTATAAACAATTAGTTACAATTTATTAGTGAATTTAAAGCGTAATATACTCTGTCTTTGAGGGCCTGCCAATCAACAAAGGGAGGTAACACAAAACTTAATTTTTATCCCCAATCTCTAATAGACCTTGATATTTTCTTCTTCCACTTTTAACTAACAAATCAAGCACATACCTCTCCACAGATACTGCTCTCAACTGCTGAAACTCCAGTTTTCTTTTCTTACATTTTCTCGGACAACAAAATCAACAGAAAATTTCCTCTCAAGTATAGGATCAATGCATTTTGCTAACTGATATCCTTTTCTAGCCATGCCTCTGACAAAGCAGTTCTCTCAGAAGGAACTTTATTACTCTAAGCAATATAGACTCAGCAGAATTAGAAAATTGCTCTTAACCTTAGGTGTTAAAATTAACCCTTAGCATTCTAATCCATTTTCTCCATTTTAGTCTTTCATCACGATGATGATCAAGATGAAGATGATGTCAGTTTACAGTTGTTGAGTGTTTACTATGCAAGACACTGTAATAAGTGCTTAATAGGCCTGACTTCCTGTACTTCCTACAACAATCCTCTACTGATGTTCATCCTACAGATGAGGAAACTGAGATTTCTGTCAGATCTACAGCTGGAACTAGAGTCTGGTGATTCATCACATTTTACTCTCAGATGTTTTTACAAAGGTGTTCATTATTAAGAAGCAGGAAAAAATCCATTAGCTCTAGAGTATAATGTGAGTTGCATTATTTTAGAGCATATAATTTGTCAATGCCTTATCACTATTTTCTAGCAAAATACAAACTTTTTAGTACGATGTATAAAGCTCTCCATGAGGTCCCTGCCCTGTCCTCGTCCTCACTTGAGCCTGGGAATGCAGACGTACAGAAGCACTTGCTCCCAAATCTGCCACATGGAATCACACAATCTCATACTTGTCTGTTTTATGTCAGCCTCTCCAATTTGTTGGCAAGTTGGGACAAGGGCTATTTTTTTCTCTTCTGTCTTTAAACTTAGGACTATACCTGATTACAGTGAAGTTTCAAAAATGTTGGTAAAATTAATTAATAATAACACACTTAGGGGTTTCCCTGGTGGCGCAGTGGCTGAGAGTCTGCTTGCCGATGCAGCGGACACGGGTTCGTGCCCTGGTTGGGGAAGATTCCACATGCCGCAGAGAAGCTAGGCCCGTGAGCCATGGCCGCTGAGCCATGCGAGCCCGGGGCCTGTGCTCCGCAACGGGAGAGGCCACAACAGTGAGAGGCCGGCGTACCGCAAAAAATAAATAAATAAATAAATAAATAATAATAACATACTTAGATACATCTTATTCAAGACGGTGAAGCTATTTTCACAGTGGTTAAACATTTTAAAAATATATATAAACATTTAAAATTTTAGTAAATTTGTTTATTTTTGTTATATGTAACGAATTCACAACATGTTATGAAAATATCATCTCAATGCTTGAATCACTGCACATTTATCTTCTGCATATATAGTTTCACTTCTACTAATAACAATAGTACAAAGCTAAAAAGTTCTGTGAAATTATGAATTCTGAGGTCTTCAAAGCAATAGTTGGGCTTAGAAGCAATGGAGACCATTAGATAGGGCTCCAGTCCTATTATTTGTTACATGTTTAGACTTGAGTATATCACTTTTTTTTTCTGGATTTCATTTTTTCTAATCTGTTAAATCTCCAAAATAATTTCGATCTCTACATCTCTATGATTCTCTTCTTGGAGATACAAGCAAGAAAGGACCCAGAAGAAGGCAGGACTACAAACACCGTTGCAGTGTTTTTCCCGAAAGAGATCCTGCCCACTGGGGAGATGGCTGGGAAGCTTGATGAAGCCACCATTCCAGCCAGCAAGGACAAGTGTGGCAGGTCTTTACTTGGGGACCTGTATTTTGCATCAGGAAAATGTTCAAAAGGGGCCTCTGATTTTCCTATTGTTTATTTCCTATAATGTGCTGGACATTTCCTTTCCTTCTGTTTAAAATTCTTTTTCTATATCATGGTCAACTAGTTTGTAAAGTGAGAGTAGGCACCAGATGACTGTGCTCTTTGTAGAAAGGAGAAATTTCTAGATTTGGAGGCAGAAGCCGTGAGGTATGAAACCCAAAAAATTCATCAGAGCTCTTTTTGCAATGGGCATACTCAACACAAGAGGTATACTAGACATTTTAGGGAATAACAACGAATAACCAAATGTAATTAAAGCAGATTTTACAGTTTTGCAAGTTAACTCAGCCTGAATTCTTTACTATTCAGTTTTGGTGGGGGTGGAAGGAAGAAACGGATTTAAAAGAAACGTCTCTACTGAATGACACTATGATCTGACCAGGAGAATCACACCTACATGTTTCTGAAAAAGTCAAACAAAAACTTTCACTGAGTGTGTAAAGTTTTGTATTAGTGATTTGTATGTTGTGATTTTATGGGGGATAAAAGAAATGTTTCCTGCCTTTAGGAAACTTTGAGCTGGTATGGATGGATTTTTGGAAGCAAAGTACCCTTTTATGTTGGGGGAAATAACCTGTGATCAAAATTCAAGTATTTTTTCCTTGGACTGCATTCTTTCCAAAGAGTATCATAGATTAAATAATGAGCTTACAATACTCCAGCAACTTCTAAAGCTCACATCGTTTTGAAAGGAAACTTGTTAAAAGGCTAAACTTTAGGCTCTTAAAAATCATTACTGTTTATTTTGTTATACCATGATTGTCCGTTTAGTCGGTCTTTAAAATTTCTGTGAAGCCTAACTCAGATTATCCCTAGATTCCTTCTCAATTTTACTCAGTGGATCAGTGTAGATTGTTAGAATTTTAAAATAAGCTATAAATGAAAATTCAAAGCAGTGTTCTAGAAAAAAGAATTCGAAAATAAGTCATAGAAACCTTCCTTTCTAGGTTGCTCAAGTCTGATGGTTTTCCATGCACCAAAATGCTCCTTCATGAATCTCTCTCCTTTGGGGGAGGGGCACAAATAACAATGTCTGTCATATCATCATCATCATCATCATCATCATCATTACTATCATCATGTGGCTAACATTTATTCACTATATGTCAAGCATCTCATTAATCCAAATCTCATTTAATTCAAATGAGCAAATATTATAATCACCCCCTTTTCACAGATGAGGAAACTGAGGGACAGAGGGGTTTAAGAAACTTTCCTTAGGTTACAATGGCAAATGGAATAGCTGGGATTCCAACTGCAGAGGATTCTTAACCACACTACCACACTACCTCCCTTTAGGGTGTCCCAGTTTTCTCTCTTTGGAGCCCCCTGGTTTGGAGGTAAGGGAGGTGTCCCGACTTCTGCACCCTTCTCTTGGAGAAATAGTATAACGTTTCTTTGGGAATGGAATTGGTGTAGTTTTCCTGAGGACTGGTGGGCTGAGGCAGGCTGTCGCAGCCCTTTGTTTTTCCAATAAACTCCCAGAGAAATGCATTGTTAAGTCCTTGCTTGTTCCCTTCTGTCTCAATTTGGCTTCAGGGTTGGTTTTTGCTGCCACAGATGTAATTTCACTTAGGTGAATTTACAGACACAATGTGTTTGGTCATGGAGGACAATGGGCATTCCCTTGAAGAAACTTTTTCATACAGTTCTGACCTTTCTTTTTTTTTCATTTGCAAAGGCAGCATTTCCCAACTTCTAATATCATCATCACCCAAATAACCTTCACTAGAGGCTGTGTCATTTGCGGCCTAAACTTGCATGAAATCACTTTCTTTAAAAAGTCAGGAGAAAAAGAAGCATGTGAAAAAATATATTTGTTTAGTGCCGACCTTTTAGAAAGAAAATTTGACTTTTGCATTCATGAAGGAAGTTGAGGGGATCCAGTGGGCTATTCTGAGTATATTAACATAAAGACTTCCAGTGAGTTTATTAAGGGAAAAACTATTATCACTTGATGTGGAATATTTGATTATGTATGTATTATCACTTATTTTCCATTATCTCATTTTAGGGTTTATCAAGATTTGTAACAGTATTCTTTTTCAGCCTACCACAATGAATTTACATTTTAATAGAACACTTCTTGAGTGGGTTCTTTGTGATGTGTCTTGAGCATTGCTTTTCAATCATGTGGGCAGAGTAGGCAAAATTCACTTTCTTCCTCTACTGAGTCATTTAAAAAAAAAAAACACTGCACAAGACATGTGGTCTATTTAAACACTGGGGGCCGGATTCTATGATAGGCATTACCTAAGAAAGAGAAATGAAGGAACTTTTTGATTCCAGTTTCTTTCTTGACTTGACTTGGTTAGGGAGGGTAGTATTAAAAGAGATAATACTGGAATGGGTTTAGTGGATTCGATACTTTCCAAAGTAAATTATTGGTTAGAAAATGAATTCTTAAAACATTATCTACTGGAACACAGGTTTGACTATATTTTATACTATAATCCTCCATTTTCTGAAATCCTGTAAGACATCTCTGTGTCAACTATGATTTATAATATTAATGACATTTCTGACAAGATACACATATAATCAGAAAAGCACTAAAAAAAGAAAAAGAAAAAAGGGGAGTTCCCTGGTGGTCTAGTGGTTAGGATTTGGCACTTTCACTGCCAGGGCCTGGGTTTAATCCCTGGTTGGGGAACTAAGATCCTGCAAGCCGCACAGCCAAAAAGAAAGAAAAAAAAGAAAAGCACTGTGGAATAAAAAGTATAACTGAATCATTTATAAACCACACACTATTTCACATGCCTCATGACTTCATTAACTGTGTGCAAACAT